AACGTTATTTCTAATATCGATGAAATTACAATTAAACAAGAAGAAGAAGATAATGTTTTCGAGTAAGTCGATTTTAAATTTCACCTAAATAGTCTTTTCCTAACTGTTCATATTCATGTTTGGACTTTTACTAATACTTTATCTAATCTGTGATGGAGCCATAAGGTGGAGAGCACTGTACAGCGTTTTTAATTCTCACACACTGCCTGCATTCATCACTAACTTCACAGGCGAACATACTTGAAATTCATTTTTAGTATTTGGCTTTAAAATTTAACATCTATATAAAAATTTTTCATAACGTGACCATTATAATTAATATATAAATATTGAATAAATACAAGATTTTACTTGATCATTTTTTGCCTAAACTTAAAATATTTTTATGTAAAATATAACTAATTTTTATCTTATAATCGATTTTAAATCTCAAAATACCAAAATTGCCTTTCCTAATAAATCAATTAAATTGCAATTAACATATAATAAGATTGAGCTATTATAGAGAAATATAACATAAATTATGACTGTTCGTTAACCATGTTTGAATTTTTACTTCTCGCATTATTAGCATTTTAAGATGGAACCACAGATTAGATAAAACTTTATCTAATCTGTGATGAAGCCATGAGGTGGAGAGCACTGTGCAGCTTATTTAATTCTCACTCACTCGCCCACATTTTACACTTTTGTCTTCATCACTAACTTCACATGCGAACATACTTAAATTTTATACATAGTGATTAACTTTTAAAATTTTGCATTTATATAACATTTTATCATAATCTTTAAACTCTATAAATATAATAATATATAAAACAAGGTTCATTTGAAAATTGTATCCCTTCAATAAAAATAATATTATGTAAAATATAATCAATTTTCATATAATATTAAAAAAAACTGAAATATTTGATGTTTTTTACTCGTAGATATAACAATATGATCAACGGGATTAATGTTAAACACGAATGTTCAATTACAACAGATGTCAAAAACGAATTCAAGTAAGGCTCTTTTTAGTATTAAAACATATTCTGTAAACAAGTGTATTACATACTTAGTATGTAACGACTATGTAAATATATGTTTTTTAAACTATACGCTTTGCCAACTAAACCCTTTATTTTAGTGTTTTATTTTATTTTATTCGGTATTGTTACAAGTCTCTTTTTTTCTGTATATGTTTCATTGTTCAAAATCAATATTTCTTGAGTTATCCATGGGTAAATAGATGCTAAACGTTTGGTTCAGTTCACATTGGAGGCTTTTATTATGTTTTCTTTCACAGAATTAAATTCTAGACATATTTATCTTATGTAGTAAACATTTGAACAAAACTTGTTGATGTATATATATCAGTTTTCATTTAACATTTTCTCATAATCTGAACTCTATACATATAATAATAAATAAAACAAGATTTCATTTGAAAATTTGTATGCCTACACCAAAAATTATATTATGTAAAATATAATCAATTTTTATATATTATTTAAAAAAACTAGGTATAACATTTGTTATTTTTTACTTGTAGAGATAACCATACGATCGACGGCATTAATGTTCAACCTGAATTTGATGAAATGCAAGATTATTGCTTTGGATCGTTGATACAACATGAAGAAACGATACCTATGGACATGAAAGTAACAAACAACTTGCCTGACGAAAAATGCGATTTGTGTTTAGAATCATTTACATCCGAAAATCAATTGAAACATCATATTACAACATCGCACAATTGTATTCCTGTGATTGATGAATGTTCAATTACAACAGATGTCGAAAACAAATACGAGTAAGGAACTTTTTAATATGAAAATATATTTTGCAAAAGGGTGTGTATTACATATCGCCGCCCCAGTAGAACAATGACACAACGACAACATTTGGTTAAATGGGCTAAATGCTTCAATATGTTTAGATACAGCGACCGTATTAGGTAGAAAAACGACGTAACTGTAGTTGTAATAATTAATTGTGCATTCATGAATTATAAACATTTTAGTGAAAAATAATTTGGTTTTTTGGTTCTCTTGTTAAATTTCAATTATTGCAGTTGTTTCATTGTTTTACCGGGGCGGCGATATATAGTAACGACTCTGTAAATATATGTTTTTTTAAACTATAGGCTTTGCCAACTAAACCCTATATTTTGGTGTTTTAATATTTTATTTTTTTCGGTATTGTTACAAGTCTCTTTTTGTCTGTATATGTTTCTTTGTTCAAAATTAATATTTCTTGAGTTATCCATGGGTAAATAGGTGCTAAGCGTTTGATTCAGTTTAGATTGGCGGCATTTATTATGTCTTCTTTGACAGAATTAAATTCTAGCTGTCCATTTATTTTTCTTATCTAGTAAAAATTTGAACAGAACTTGTTGATGTATATATTTCAGTTTTATAAGATAATTAGAAAAAATACACTTTTGAGTAGTAGTGTATAAGAGAGTAGACCAAATCTGAGTAGGGATAGGGGGTAGTAGATAAGGGTGAGATTTAGCCGGTAAATAACCGAAAAAATGTGTTACCAAAAAAGCGTTACGCTGTTACGCGCCGCAATGTAACAAAAACTACGAAGCGACGACGAAAGACAATTATCGGAATGACCATTTCAGATCTATTTTGAATGTTAATCTGTTACGCTGTTATCTGATTTGAGATAAGAGATATGTTGTACGTTCAACGTTCAAATTAGAACTAAATAATAAATTCAAAACAGTTAAAGAGCCCAATTTCTCTATGAATTGTTTTAAGCCAGATAATAAACACTACATTGATTTTTTTCGTTGAGTGTACATAATTTTGCAATCTCCTTGGCCTTATGCTATAACTGGAAGCTTCATGGAACTTCACGATCTTTTATATGTTCTGGCCAAAAGTAACTTAACATAGTTTAATATATAGAGAATTAAACTATTTTGAGTTTATCATTTAGTTCTAATTTGAACGTTGAACGTACAACATAACTTAGCTAATACGTACTTAACATAACGTAGCTAATAATTATTGTATGGAATATAGTGTTACTTACAAGATGGATTCTGATGAATTTTGGACGTTTGTCAACAATACATCGTTTTCGTCACAAACAACAGACGCTGAAAAATATCAACGCTTTCTACAACAGCGAAACCGAGTATGTAAGAAAGTAGATAATAGATCCGATCAATCCAACGAGGAAATTAACATTGATCTGATACCAAATTTGCAACTAACGAACCCTGATGCGGCGGAGCTAATGCCGACGCAGAAAGATAAACGAAAGGAACCACCGAAGACAAACACGGAAAGACAGCGCGAATACCGAGCACGCAAGAAATTGAAGATGGATAACCCTGATTCGGCGGACTTAACGACGACGCAGAAAGATAAGCGAAAGAAACCACCGAAAACAAGAGCGGAAATACAGCGCGAATACCGAGCGCGCAAAAAATTAGAGATATATAACCCTGATGCGGCGGACTCTATGACGATGCAGGTAGATGAGCGAAAGAAACTACCGAAAACAAGAGCGGCAATACAGCGCGAATACCGAGCGCGCAAAAAATTAGAGATATATAACCCTGATGCGGCGGAGCTAATGCCGACGCAGAAAGATAAACGAAAGGAACCACCGAAGACAAACACGGAAAGACAGCGCGAATACCGAGCACGCAAGATATTGAAGATTGATAACCCTGATGCGGCGGATCCTACGACGACGCAGATAGATGAGCGAAAGAAACCACCGAAAACAAGAGCGGAAATACAGCGCGAATACCGAGCACGCAAAAAATTAGAGATATATAACCCTGATGCGGCGGACTCTACGACGATGCAGGTAGATGAGCGAAAGAAACTACCGAAAACAAACATGGAAAGACAGCGCGAATACCGAGCACGCAAGAAATTGAAGATGGATAACCCTGATTCGGCGGACTTAACGACGACAAAGAAAGATGAGCGAAAGAAACTACCGAAAACAAACATGGAAAGACAGCGCGAATACCGAGCACGCAAGAAATTGAAGATGGATAACCCTGATTCGGCGGACTTAACGACGACAAAGAAAGATGAGCGAAAGGAACCACCGAAGACAAACACGGAAAGACAGCGCGAATACCGAGCGCGCAAAAAATTGGAGATATATAACCCTGATGCGGCGGACCCTACGACGACGCAGCTAGATAAGCGAAAGAAACCACCGAAAACAAGAGCGGAAATACAGCGCGAATACCGAGCGCGCAAAAAAATAGAGATATATAACTCTGATGCGGCGGATTCTACGACGATGCAGGTAGATGAGCGAAAGAAACTACCGAAAACAAACACGGAAAGACAGCGCGAATACCGAGCGCGCAAAAAATTGGAGATTGATAACCCTGATGCGGCAGACCCTACGACGCCGCAGATAGATGAGCGAAAGGAACCACCGAAAACAAGAGCGGAAATACAGCGCGAATACCGAGCACGCAAGATATTGAAGATTGATAACCCTGATGCGGCGGACCCTACGACGACGCAGATAGATGAGCGAAAGAAACCACCGAAAACAAGAGCGGAAATACAGCGCGAATACCGAGCACGCAAGATATTACAACCTGCCAAGAATGTCGCAGAAGAGATGGAAATTCGCGACGTAAACCATTCGTACGTTTCGGCACCTTGCTCTCCCGCCGACCTACAATTCGACAAGCGCTTCACGTCAAAAAAGTGAGCATAGTTATAAATAATTTTCCCAAATTACTATTATTATAATAGACTATAATTCTTTTTTCACAGCTCGTTGACACACAACTCTGTCAAAGAGTCATTGCAAGTTTGGGACGTGAGATTGCGCTAACTGGTAAAATGATCAAGTGGCACCAAAGTCTACTCAGCGCACTCTTCAAGAATATAGATGAAGAGAAGAAAGTTCTACATATTTTAGAGAACAAGCAAAAGAATATGAACACCCTACTATCAGAGATGAGGCATTTATTTTAAGACCGCCAGGATTCAACCATCGCCTACAGCGTCCAACCAGATCCGACGTCTGGTTCGTATAAATTCGCAACGATATTACTGTATCGCGCATATTAATTTTATGTATTTTATGCAATATAAAAACTACTTTCTTTCGTCAATTGTACTTTTAAAATTGTTTTGGAAACTTTCGACTTGTGTGACTCGTTAACTAACCTAACCTATTTATCCTGAAATTTATTCGGACATGAAAATGTTCTATCGTGTTTGCAGACTCGGCTGAAAAATGGGCTTTTTCGGTTATTCGCCAGGGTTATGTACCAGAGCTAAGACATGAAAATGTCAATATTGTATGTTATTTATAATTAAAATAAAATAAATGGTTATTTTTTGGTATTGAAAAAAAGTATGCTGTGAAATTGGGTTGGTCTGATCTGGGGTTCTTAAAATGTTGTTAAAATATGACTATTTTTAATAACATAATTTAAGTACAGGATTAGTTGATCCGAGTTAGAAAATACAAGTAATAAATCTTAAATAAATATTTTAAGAATAGGACCGGTACTTGAATGGCATCTACGGTCTAAGGCTGAAACTATAGTATCTCAATAATCCTCTAAGTTCTCCCATTTCATTAAGTACACTGTCATTGGTACGGAACTCCATTAGCAACCTGCGCCAGCACCACATTTCGAAGCTTTCTAAATATCTTTCTTCTGCTATTTTTATCACCCAAGACTATTATTTGTATAGAGCCACGCTCCACACAAATACTTTTAACTAATCGTTTTCTCTTATGGATACTCATCTCTCTGGAGCATAGTAATTTCATGCAGTTCATAAATGCGGGTTTCGCCTGCGCTATCCTAGCTTTAATTTTCTTAGTGCTCTTGCGCTTGGTGATTCAACTGCCTAGGTTTATTATATAGATGTTTACTTGTTCTGAATGGCTATTTCCCACTTGAATTTGGAGTCTGTGTCTTTGTTGTGTTTTCTGGCAACCTTAGTTTTTTACTAGTTTATCTCCAGGCCGTCACCCCTATTTTTGTCTATTGAGCTATTCCTTTATTTCTTGGATTGGTTGTTCGAAATATACATTAAACAACATTGGTGACATAGGACATACTCATCTAGTGCCTTTCCATGTTTTTGGTGTTGCTGATTGGTCTTCCATTCCTATTTCTGCAGTTAATATAATATAAAACCTGTATTATATATATATAAGTTGCTCAAACCGGATATTTTGTTAATAATATTTTTTGTTCTCTTGTAGTAGAAAGTACCAAATTCTATGTTAGCACTCATTGCTCGTTTGCTGGTATTTTTATAACATTTTTAGTTTTAATACATATATTTATTTTACTTTTTAGTGTTGGAGAAACTTGCGTTGATACAAAAGTAATAGTTGAAATTGAAGGAAACGGTGGTCTTTTGGATTCGCAAACAATAAACTACAAAAATACTTTTAGGTAAGGCTGAGTGTTCAATTTAATATATTAAATTATCAATAGTTTTGTCGTTTAACGAAAATACAATGTAAGCTATATATGTACACACAATAATTAAAGAGTTTTCTTAGTAACCGATTTTCCAATTCAACGTACATAAATGTACATCAACATTCATTCAACAGACAATTAAAATTTACTAGCCTGTAATTTTTGTACATTTGATACATTTACAAAGATCAAATTAGAATTTATAATAATATTATACAATTGTGAAAAGGATATATTTTTTAAAAATTTTATAATTTATTGTTCGACAATGTTTTGTTGTAGTGACAATCGTACGAGAAATGAAGTGAATAAAAACACTGATGGTTGTTATTTCGAATCGAGGACTGAAACAGATAAAAACAACCAAACAGCAACAAAGTATAACAATGAAGATATAACAGAACAGCGGTTTTTCCAATGTAATTTATGTCTAAAAATTTATAACACAAAAAAACAAATAACTTTACATTTATTAAAATCCCACCGAGGTTCAACTGATGAACACTGTCCCCAAAAACTCAAAACTATACAGCGCAACAAGTTTACTAATACATACGCGAACATCAGCCGACCCTATAAATGTGACATCTGCCTTAAGCATTTTTCTAAATGTTCTGACCTCACACGACACGAACGAGTGCACACTGGGGAAAAACCCTACAAATGTAATGTGTGCTCGAAGACATTTTCTCTTAAATGGAGCCTCACAAAACACCAACGCGTGCACACCGGCGTAAAGCCCTTCAAGTGTAATGTGTGCTTAAAGACTTTTTCCGAAAAATACAGCCTCATAAAACACCAACGCTTGCACACCGGGGAAAAGCCCTACAAATGTAACGTGTGCCCAAAGACATTTACTGTTAAATCCAGCCTCACAAAACACCAACGAGTGCACACCGGCGTAAAGCCCTACAAATGTAACTTTTGTCCAGTAACTTTTTCTGATAAATCCAATCTCACAATACATGAACGCGTGCATACTGGAGTCAAACCTTTCAAATGTAATGCGTGCTCTAAGTCATTTGCTCGAAAACCCCACCTCACACAACACAAATGCCGTGCACCATTATTATAATGTCAGACAATGATTTATATATAACCTAAAAAATTTGTATTTAAATGTATAAGGACATGTTTTATTTATATTTTTATTGTATTATTACTATCGGACATCTTGTAATGTTTTTTTTAAATATTTTAACTTTTGTGTTTTTTCTAAATAATTGTTAATACATATTTTGTTACATCGTTGGTTAATTTTGTCAATATTTATAATTAACATTGGTTGTAATTTTGTATACATTGGAAATATTTATGCACTATGATTTAAAATTAATATCTTACAACAATCTATTTCGTTGTTTTTTTTAATTTTTATGTAAAATAATATTAGATTTATATATTTTCTGTTTTTTTTTTAAGTAGGGATAGCAAAAAAAATAATTAAAAATTATAATTCCGTTATAACAATTTTCATGTTCCGCGTTTAAAGGAAATAAAACGTAGAAAATAATTATTTTTAATTTTTTCTGTGATTAATTGGTGAACGGTTATTGAACTAGGACATCATATTGTTACAGTGTCGTTTTTTGTGGTGCATAATCAGGATGAAAAATAAGACCCCTTTTCACCAGTTTAGTTTTTAATAAAATAATGTTATCTTGAAAATTTTACCGTCAACGTAGAAGTTAGGAAGTTTTGGCCGAAATATCATAAAAAATCAAACATTTTAAAATATCATGTTTAATAAAACTGCGTTAGGCAATTTACATATTATTATGTATTATGGACATAATATTATGACCATCCTGTGTAGTAAAAATGTTGTCTGGCTTTTTGGTCTAAAATAATCCAAAATGACTTTTACTCGTAGCAAAAATTATTAAAATTGGAATCTTATACAAACTAACCGGTAAAATAAATGACAATGATTTTTTTTCTTGAATATTACCTACACAAAACTCCTTAAAACCAGACAGCATGCGATCCCCTCAAGACAGGCTATAACACTTTTTGTTTGGCCTACAATATCGAGCAATAGGAATAATAGGTAGATGTGTAATATGCAATAATTATTTTTGCTGTCGATTCCTTAAGGGTGCACTAACCTAAGTTAATGTATAATTTTTAACCGTATGTACACACACCGCGGTGTGTCGGATAACCGTGGACAAACACAATTGCCAAAATATAGTTTTTTTTAACTGTTGTTCAAATACCTACTTCTGCTGAAATTGACGCGTTTTGAACATTCAAAACCATTGTTTTTTTTTGTTTTTTTTTCACCGACGTCCAAAGAGCGGTATTTCATATTTGTCCGTAGTCTATCGGCTGCTTGAATTGATAATAATTTCGCAATTGAATAGAATATTATGGAAAGTGTGTTCGTTTACCTTCGAAGAAATGTGTCCACGCGACGGGCGCGGGGTATAGGCAATTTTGTGTACACAACTAGCTGGTGTATTAGTCGTTTTGCGTCGCACAGTGGTCTAAAATCTAAAAAACGCCATCGAAAAATAATATCTCCTTAATTTATGATTAAAAAAGGTTTGGTTGTATGTTTAAAAATCGCTTATAATAATAATTATTAGAGCTTCTTATTTCACGTGTACACGAAAATACGTGTATTCGAACTTTTGAATAGTTCGTGTTTAAGTTCATATAGTTCGTGTATTCGTGTTTTAGTGTATTCGTGTATATGTACATTCGTGTTTTCGTATATTCGTGTTTTCGTGTATTCGTATATTCGTGTTTTCGTATATTAGTGTGTTAGTATATTCGTGTAATTGTATATTTGTAACTTAATCGCCATTTACTTATTATTGTTTTATAAATTCCGAGTACACTTATTTAATATAGAATTGATTATATACGTAGGTTGTCTTTGATTTAGCCTTATTAAATACATATGTATTATGTATATATTTTTTTTATAATTTACAGGGTCTTATTTTTTAACTAATTTTTTTGAAAAAAGTGTGAGTCTATAAAAATTAAACTGTAAATAATACTTATATTATATAACATAATTTTATCATTCAATATCATTTTAATTTCAGTAAAAAAACCTGAGTAAATAATTACAAAATTCCAGCTTTTATGTCATATATAATATAATGTTTATCATAAATAACAAATTATATAATTTTGATTATACTTCATTAATAACAAATATGAACTTAATAAACAATAACGTTACCTACAAAAAATCATAGAAAAAAAAATACAAATATAATTTTCACTACTAAATAAACAATTTATAATATAATAATTGTGACAAGAATAACTCTTAGATGTATAAACCTTTATTTTGGTATAAAAATACCAACATATTTACATTTTCTGGATTGAGACAACTTCTTTTGGAAGTAACAATATTACCAGCAGTAGAGAAACATCTTTCCGAACTAGCAGAAGTAGCTGGAATTGAAAGATATTTTTTAGCGATAGCAGCCACAACTGGATATTTTTCCTCTCTAGCCTTCCACCATTCAAATGGGTTTAGGTCAAACCGAAGCTGCGGCTCAGAAAGATATCCTGCAAACTGTGTCAGTGCGTCCTTTATACTACGATTATCTTCCTGGTAAATAAATGCCAACGCATTGGTTTTTTGTACATTTTCTTTTTCTTGTTCAGCGTTGTCTTTAGTGCTAACAATCTCCGCTTCGACGAGTTCCTTAACTTTTGACCGAATAGTTTCTCTACATTCTAATGCTTCATACTCTAGATCTTTGTACCTAGGGTCAAGAAATGATGCAATTTGCCTAGCTAATACATTATCATTCCATGATAAATGAAACCTAGTTGTTAACTCATATGTAATAGTAGCTTTAAACTGCGTGGCTATGTCGTCATCGTCTATATGCGCCTGGTAATGGCAAGATAAAATTTTGTTTACTAGGGGTCGTACCATAGAAACCGGTGAATCGAATTCACTACAAAATATAGTAGTAAGAGCCTGGAGTGGTTTTAAAAGTTGTACGAGGGTTTCAATACATATCCACTGACTTCCTGAGAGCTCTATATTTTGTGCAATACGTGCTGTTGTGACGCTACGATCCGCAAGAACATTTGTTAAAGATATTCTGTTAACTAGAAGACGTTCCAGCATAAAAAAACAAGAATTCCATCTAGTTTTACAGCTTTGTAAAAGAGTAAGGTTTGGTTTGCCTAGCTGTTCTTGGGTTTTTTCTAAAGATTTCATTGCAATAACTGAGTGCTTAAAATGTCCTACTATTTTACTCGCTTTTCCTGTAATACTTTTTATGTCTTCACTATTAAGGGCTATATTTACAGCCAATTGCAGTGTGTGTGCAGAACAAGTTAACCCACATTTTTCCATTACGTTTAGGTGTGAAACAGCATTTACTATATTTAATGCATTATCTGTCACTACGGCATTTATTTTATTTTCGATACCCCAATATACAAACGAATTTCCTAAATGTTCCGCAATATTACCGGCTGTATGGCGTTCTTCAAATTCATGAGTGGTTAGCGTGAATGTTTTTAGTTTCCATTGAGTATCTATAATATGCGCTGTTATTGTAATGTATGATTCTAGTGATCGAGATGTCCAACAATCAGTAGTACAAGAAACACTCATTGCCTCTTCAAGATTACATTTAACTTTACCCTTTATTTCTTTAAAAAATAAATCTAAACGCTTAAAAAAGGGTACCAGCAGAACAGGGTTTATAATTTGGTTCAACCACGTTCATAAATTGTTTAAATCCCAAACTAGAACAAAAAGATATTGGCACCTGGTTTAAAGCTACCATTTTTGCTAATGCTTGGTGAATTTCTTCAGTTCTTTGGGCATTGCATGATCTAACTAATTCACTGATACTTAAACGTTTGCATTGACGTTTTCTTTCACGGATGTAGTTTGTTTTTACCTCTATTCTGGGTGTCGTTTCTATGTTGCTTGATACAGTACTAGATGCAGAAACACTAATCGCAGAAATAGATCGGGAAGTGGTCGGAGTTTCAAAGTGAGAGCTATCTCGTGAGCTAATCGGAGAGTCTGTGTTTTCTGTATCGGAATTGGTAATATTTTCATCATCATTCCTAAATATATCAATAATTTGATTAAACTAAATTTTGAATAGATTGAAAATAGAAAACGATAAAACTATTTACACTATTCGCTTAATTTCAAAGTTATAAACACAGACAAGTTTAGAAATAAGAAGAAGTTAAAAGTTTAAAAACTAATATTAGTTGGAAATAATACTAATAAGTTTGAAAATTACCTAGCCATTTGTATTATAATATTTTCGATGACTAGGCTCATTTATCTAGATACACTAAGAACAAACATAGATTAAATAACGAAAATATTATACATACTGTCGAAATGTTGTATTCAAAGTATAAAGTATAAAGTGTTTTATAAAGTCCTAAATAAGGAGGTATATACGGAAGTTTCTATCTTTACTATACTCATAGGGGCAATCTTTTTTAGTCCCCCAATTATTTAAATCCATTCGTAAAAAATAATAATTATGGACTTTTGGGGCCAACCTGGAAACCAACGTATTCAATTTTCTACCTATACATTTTTTAACAAAACGTATACAACGTGTAATAGCACGAATATAGAATACAGGGTATACTGTGTATTTTGTACTATGCATAAATAAATTTCAGAATATATTAGTAATAAGGAAAAAAATTAAAAGAATTAATTTCTATAGTTATATGTAATAAGGTAACAACTACCAACAGTGTTATTAAATATAACAAAAATTAGAAGACTGGCATAGAAATGCAATCAAAAATACCTGCTAATCGTCAACAGCATTGTTTCAACACACAAAATAGAAAAACTCTTTTAAGGTATAAAATATAGAAAGAAAATCAGAAAATTTGAACCCTTACTGTTGTAAAAACAATTTCTATATCACCAAACTTTTACTAGATGTTTCACTAACTTATAAGAAAGTATTACGTAAAATTGGAAAATGTTAGTTCAATCACATAATATGTGTTGTGGATCATTAAAATAGGCTGTTTTCAGCAAACCATTCATGTTTGAAACCCTAAAATAATAGGAAAAAAACCTTATTTAGTTTTTGACCTCAAAAAATGTTTTTATTAAACGTTTAAATAAAAAAAAATGCCAGTTAAAAAATAAAATTTTTTTTTTTCAAAATATGATTATAAAGTACACTTAATAAAGTATACTTAAAATTTTAACTGTGCAATTTCTATCGGTGGTTAAATTACATAGTCGGGAACATGTTCACGGTGTTTTTGTATAATTTAATTGAAAAATCAAACCACATAGATCCAAAAATTTAAAAAAAATTGTTTTGAATATTTTGTCAATAAAAACCTATAAAGAATGTATGATAAAATTATCAAACATGTTTGAACTATAGCACACAATCATTTCATGATTTCACATGAAATAACCCCTTTTTTAGATATTAGACAATACCTATTACAATTTTTATTTTTTTTATTTTTTTTCAAGACTTTATAGACTTTTAAATTTAAATTGTAACGTACACTAAAATAGACAAATGTTTAGTAGTTCTATAATATTTTAAGATAACATAAGTTATTAGCAAGATATTAGTTATTTTCTATCGTCATTTTGTTCTGATAATATTTTGTAATTATATTATCAATATATTATTAGTCTATAATTTAGTTAACTTCCTTTAACTGTAAAGTAAAAAGTAAAAACTCACCGCTTTCTTTTTCCACTTAAATGAGATTTGCTATCCATTGAATGAATACTCATAAGATGTCGACCTATTGATCCAGTAGATCCTCCAGGACAAGAAAATGAATTATTTTGGTTTTCATCACAAAGCTTACAGTAGGCAACTTCACCTTCTCTATCCGCGTATTGCCATACCCAGCTTCTAAGTTTTTTACTCATATTTTACTGCACAAATAATTTACAGTGAAAAAATGAAGGTACCAATTTAAGAAAAACGTCACAATAGATCGATCAGTAATGCTCAAAACGTTGTGTGGAATGTATTTTACATTGTATTATCGTACATATCCAGTATTATCCATATAGCCGATTACAATTTTAGTCGCGAAGTAGGTAATACCATACTTTATAGCAGGTAGGTAATTGATATTTGATATAGTTGAATATTTATCTCTTATTGTATAATAATCATTCTTATAAATATCAAGCTCAATAAAAACTGGTTTTGTTACTAGAACTTACTATAGCTTATAACAAAGGAAGGTCAAAATATTTCAGCGATATTTTATTAACTTCAACTATAATGATTATTTTACTAGTTAATAACTTTTTGCAAGTTCTATAGTCTGTTTTACCAAAAAGACTTGAAATAAATCTGTAATCATAATTGTTGGTATATTAATCGACCTTAATATATACCACACATTAAGTGCTGATCACAATTTTATTACCGAGCTTCACAAAAGTATTTTCAATTTTTATTGCTTAAAAAATGTTTCGAAGGTATGTGATTTACATAAATTTATAGATTGTGATACAAGGTTTAATTGGATATACTGTTACATTTTTTCGTTAATAATAAAAAAAAAAAATAATAATTTTCAACTAAGAATCTCTTAGTATTAAAATCAACTTAAAATTAAAGAACTCCTAAAATCTCACTGGGCCAATGGAAACATATGTTATACGATTTATAATTAATGTGAATATTAAAAATATTGAGATTAAATGCTAATACCTGCTAATAAAGGTAGTTTAAATATCAATTAGTGATATAATTAAGATTTGAATCTACAATTATCGTCTTAATCCTCTAAATAAACCAAATTCATTACAAATTTGCATTCCCTGACAGAAATATTTGAATGTAATAATGGGTGACAAAAATTATTTACACAATAAAAAAACATTTTTCCTAAAATAAAGACAAATTTATAAATTGCTATAAAATGCAAAATTCAACGATTGCAAGAAAATATGAATATAAAAACAAATTTACAAAAACTATGAAAGCTTTATTATTATTAAACATTAATGGTTACATTTATAATACATTATATTTTATTTTACATTTTATAAAGCTATCTTTGGGGGGGGGGATTTTGGGGGTCAAATCTCTCCCTGAATATGTTTTCTGTAAAAACAGGTTTTTTTAATCATCCTAAAAGTATAACATATATTTTTGAAGACATCTCCAATAGTTTGGTCCCTAGGTACTTACAATTTTGTTTTATCGATAACTAGTCTTAAATAATATCTTGATAATAAAAATTATTATTGATAAAAAGTGTACATGAAAGGTGCCCCTTTTGGCAATATAATTATTAACTCTGTACTCTTTTAAAAAACACCCTTAACCCCTCTAAATGAGAAGTAAATTTTAACATAGGCATTACATTTGAATTTTGCAACCCTGAAAATGTATAAGTTAATTTACTATGAAGTATTTCAAAGTAATTTAGAAAGATATTAATTTTTACCTATTTTTTTTACTTATATTCTAGACTTGTGTGTGCTATGGCGTAACCATGTGAACAATTCACTATATCCGTACATTCGTTATTCGAATACCCGAACATTCGTTAGTCGAATACCCGTTTTCACGAAAATTCGTACGTGTTCGAATAAAACATTCGTGTATTCGTTACACGAATACACGAATGTTCGCTTTCACGTACTTGACTGAGACCTCTAATAATTATACTGCACTCCACCATTAATAATAGGCAATGTCGCCGAACTAAAGTCTAGTAGGAGACGCAAAAAACTATTATGGACACCCACCCCAGGTTAGGATAGGTTACAATAGCATCGTCTATTTTGAAATTTTTAATTTGGCGGTAGCAATTATGTAATGTTAATAGCTACTTAATTCCGATAAAGTAGCCGCAAAGGATCCTTCATTATCCATTTAAATAACGCACAAGATATAATATGTTTTTATTTTAACTGTGCTTGACTCTGTACACTTTTAGGGTACGCGGTTCTTACTACTGGCGTTTGAAAGCTTATGTAAAATCCCTTCAAGATTGACCATAGCTACAGTTTTGATTTCTCTTATATAAAAAAATAAAATGGTTTTCTTCAGTATTTCAAAGATTGTTTCTAGAATGGAGCAATAACGTCATATATAATTTGCTTAAAAATCTGTGGTGAATTTTTTAAGGAAAGACCAAACATGGGGAATTAACACTTTGTAAGTTTGTAGGTTGGAATGAGTAAAATGTCGTATACATGAATAACAACGTCTACAAATTATTGGAGAAAAACGGTTCAACCTTAAACGTAACCACCCTGATTGTAAAAATACAATATTAAGTACATCAAACACTGTTGTCACTGCAATCCTATTATAGATAGTTGTATTTCTACAGATTCGCATCGAAACGTTTATTTGAAAGTGATTTTAACACATTCAGACATCTAGGTCTAACTCAAGTCCCAATCCCATTGTACTGGCTTTTTGCTTTATGAATATCCGTCGTAGCCATACACGTAGCCATTGTATGTAATCGTTTGCGCAAGGTATTTTTTTTTTTATTCAAATTTACTAATTGTTTACGGACTACTTATGGCAGTAGTTGTTAAATAATAATAAAATATTATCTATGTACGCACATGTTATGTAAATGTTATACCTACCAGATAGTAGACTCAATAGTTGGGTAAATACCTGAATATTAGATTCGATAAAATTTTCGACTTTTGATCATACATGTTATAACCTTGGAATTTTTCATATAACTAAAAAGTTTTCAAACAAAAATTAGATTCTAACAATGACACTTTTTAATATCATTTTGTCGTTAGATCAACGTACTTTATTGATTAAAATGTAATACTTGATTTAAGTTTGGCGACATTGATGTACATCATAGAAAGTATTTTGGGCACTCAAATGGGTTAACCGTTTTTATTTAAGCAGCGTTTACTTTGGCGGTCTAAAGTTGAAAAACTCAACTCCTTCTTTCACAAACATTGGTACTCTAACAAAGTTTAGCAAAATATATATTGAGTAATAAAAAAGTTTGCATGACATGGTGTAACAATATAACCAATCGCTGTTTTGGGGATAGTAATGCGTATGAGGTTGACTTAAAATCAATGCCAAACGCTTTGAATAATGCGATTTTATTGTTACAAATATCTAGTTCTTAAGAAGCCATCAAAAATAGGGCAAGTCGGGTTAGATTTGCTTTCATGGTTTGAAAGTTTTAAGGATATGAACTCTACAAGACATCATTTTATTTGCGTCAACGCACTTTTATCAGAAAACGACTATATAAGTAATTGTAGCAAAACATTAAATAAAATCCCATAAGTTGCAGAGTTAATATATTGTACAATAATTTCTGTAATTTTTACATTAGATTGTTTATTCTTTTATTAACTATTGAGACATGTCAATGTATATTTATGATATCAGATCCTAGATTCTTCGTGTTGGTTTATGTAGTCTGGAAAAAGTACAAAAATTGTTAAAAATGGATATAATAGTTTGGTTTTTGGTTGTTCCTGGTAAAAACCGAATGTATATTTTACTAGCAACCTTTCTAATCATTTTCGCATTAAGGCAGAACTTGGTAACTTTTCTTTCTCATTCTGTGTTAAGGTAGTAAACAATTTGAACATGTTTTTACTGAGCGAGTTTATGGATAATAAGATTTAAGAAAACCTTATACATTTAGGAAGCCAGTAAAGATAGATTAGGTTAAGTTATTTAAAATGTTTGAAGGCTCATTCTTTGTTAATAGACGTGCTTGCTATGCTACATTCCTACTTAATATCAATACATTATACTTACATTACTGCTGTTTTCAAGATAATCACTGAACGATTTATCTTAATCGCGAAACAATATCATACCTATTTTTACATCACTTTGCCGCTCATAATAGGTGGTTTCTACAAGTTTCATTTTAATTTCGGACGTGCTTAAATATAATAATAATACATTTTAAGGTCCTTAAAAAATTTATAGTTTTGTAGTTTTCCATTTAAAAAAATTGTTTATTTATTATATTTTACAACATTGTTAAATTTAATTATATTCTAACACTTAGAAATTATATTGTTATTTGGCATGATAAGATAAGATGGATTGCACAGGAGAAGAACAAATTTGGAGGTGCAGCAAATATATCAAAAATCTTTTATAGAAGCACGCCTTATGAGTAATGAGCAAAGCCACGTAGGCCGAGTATGGAAGTCAGTGGGTATATCAAGAGTCATTCTAATTGAGTCATGGTACCAAAATAAATGAAGAAAAGCTTTAAATTAGCCTAAATACCAATGGTTTTATAAAGTTAAAGACGATTTAAACAATTGCAATCAATGTACCCAAATCCAATTATCTCGTTTACGACCTTCTAGTCTATATTCTTTAGCTATACTGTCTAATTCCTATTTTTTTCCAATCCACCGTTCGATAAGTATCTCGTCTACATCATTCTACTTCCTGGGACGTCCAATAAAATCTGCATTTATTTAATAGGATGTATTAATATTTTATATCTTACCGTCCAGAGCGGCTATGGCCATAAATGTCCGTTGGCTTGTTAGTATTTTTAAAATCCGTTTTGAAACCAGAAATCTCGAATTCCAAATTCTCTACGAAGCAACCCGAAGCCGCTATTTCGGCATATGCTGGCTGTTTTCCCGGAATCGGTTTTGAAAAATCTCTGTACAACTCCGAATTAGAGTCTCTGGCCTCCAGGTACGGCACTGGTACAGTAACTTCTCGACTAAATAAAAAAAAACAAAGTACAAATAACAACTATTTAGTTCATGGAGTGAATAGTTGGGAAAGTAAAAAAAATTAACAATAATTAAAGAATGAAATATTAATAATAATCAAAGACAGCGAGTGGTCATCGGTAAAGTTTTGGTATACGGCAACGATGCGGTCGTTGCACTCTCACACCCGGTGAGTCCAACGAGACATAATACACAAAGTATTTTGTATTTTAAGATTGAAATACAAAATACAAAGTACATGTAACTTAATGATTAATATATAATATAAAGACACACGTAACTTAAAAGACAAAAACAAATTGAAATACGTATTTTTAATACTTGTAATTTGTATGCTGCCCATCCTTGCTAGCCTCTCTGGCCTTCATTGCATCAAAATGCGTCAGAAGCCCCACGAAATCTCCGTGGACGTCCGTTTTTAGGGATTCGAAGTTCTTAACAAAACTGATGTCGTGTGGTACGCACTTGTCTTCGATGACACTGTCGAACAATTGAATCGCCTCATTGAGAACGCAGACAAGTTCGTTAAGGGCGTCAAAAAACGGTAGGTTATATTCGTTGGTAAACCTCGTTTTTATCACTTCAGTATAGGTTTTGTACTTGATATTTAAACCGAGCTTCTTCTCGATGAGTCCTGCCCATAAAATGTGGAGTTCCCTCTTTGGCGTACTATGGAATCGGTGGAATGCGAATATTTTTTCAACGCCTATTCCTAATTTAATGTCAAAGTCTAATATATTTTTGTCCCACTGTATCGAATGATACATTTCTTGAAATAGTTTATTTTCATACATTGATCGAACATCGAAATTCGAAGAATTTAGTTTCGCATGATTTATGGCCCAGTTGATGTTGGTTTTGTGCTCCCACAAATCCTGAAATATTAAGTAAGCGGTTATGTTTGCGTACCTCGCTAACGTGCATTGATAAGCTATTTTGATTGTACTGCGAATCGATTCCACTTCCGTCACAGTGCTTTTGTCAGCATTTCGCTTAAAATTGTCCACAGCCGCTTTAACGTTAACAGGGGTTTTAGTACCATTGACATGTTTGTAAATTATGTGTTGGTTCATAGCTGCGTTCCATTCGTCGACTTTGATCGTGCCGTTCAAAATTTGTTTTAGTTCATTCAAATTTAAATTGTCAAACTTAGACGATATGCAATAAACGCCTGAAAGACACAATAGAATCACACTAAAATGACTTAACATATTGCTATTGCTTAAGCGACGTTATATTTTTTCTACGGCTTAAGATACACTAAAACATTTTTGTCTTCAGAATATCCTTGAGGATTCAGTGTTAGCACAGTTGTTGGTTTATGTTTATTAATTGTTTGCCTATGTTTGTATTAATTTTGAAGAATTGAAAATCACAGTTTAATGTGTTTACCTTAAGTCTGTACTTTTTATTTGATACATATTTTCATAGCCGATCAAACTACAAAGTGATTCAAGTCAACAAAAGTCAACATTGGTAAAACTATAAAATATTGTTTTTGTAAAAACACATTAACAATATTTAAATTCTATTATAAAAATAGGTATTCGCTAAAATGTATGTTAATGTGGAGTACTACCGCGCAAACGAATAGTTGGTACATTCAAAATAAACAAACAACGCAGTTTCACCACGAATCGTTTGTTTAGCATCGAAGCCTGTGTTTCTGATGAAATCACATTCAGATTTAAAAACTTATGTGACCCAAATTCTTCTATTCTGATTTATGTTGTACTTAATTTGACTGTGCTAGCTTACATTGTACTTGCTTAGACTGTACTTGGTTTAAGCTGTGTTCAATTTTTTTTTAACTGTATCCCTGTAGTCTTGTATTATTATCAAATGACAATTCTACTAAAGTTTGGACTAAATTGAAATTTTGATTGAAAAAAGTTATAGAATTAAAGAATATGTAAATTGTTAAGGCATTTTGGACCGGAGGGTTTGAACATATTTAATTTTTGGTGTTATAAAGTACATATCAAGAAGTACGATTTCTGATCTATGGATCTGCGTCTTTGTAATACCGTTGCACTCAAAGCTCCGCACCAAAGCTAACAGTTTGAAATGGCTGAACACATTTATTTGTTTTTGAACTTATGCACTGGTTCTTTTTTTTTAAATATTTGGGTTTTTTAATGTACATTTATTGATCAATGCAATTAATGAAATATTAAGTAGTTAAAATACCTCAGGTCAATAAATCAAACGTAAGTTTTGTGTTTTTATATTAACACAATGACTTTAATACTTGCTATGAGCTTGGTAAACGTTATTAGGCCAGAGGTTAAAGTGGGGGGGGGGTGCAGGGGGACTCAGTCCTTCTACCTCTAATGGTGGTTAAAAAGCGTCCCCTTTAACAAATTATTCGTAAGGTACACCGTACCGCTCCAATTATAACCAAACATTAGTCAATATAATTAAGAATTCCGTTGAGATTAAATCTTGGTTTTTCTTTTTTTAACAATTGTTACTTTACTTTTATCAAATGTATTTAATACAAATTATGGACTATCTAATATCATAGGCGCAAATACAGGGGAGCTAGGGTGGGCTTAGCCCCCCCAATGCTAGACATAGCCCAACCAAAATAATTAGGTTATGCGTACAATTTTAGTGTACAAAAATACATTTACTTATATATATATATGTATTTTAAAAAAATGTCCAGCCCCCCGAGTTAAAAATTGAAATTGCACCTATGTCTAATATGTGTGTAAAAATAATTGATTTTATTAGTTATTGTAAATGGCTATACTGTGATAAATAGGTATTCGATTAGCCCATAAGTGATAACATATATATATATATATAGGTAAAGTATGAATGTGTGATTTTTTAAGCATGCTCACCCTACCATGCGTAGAATTTGAATTTTTTCTTGTACAATTTAAAGCACTAAAAACACTACATTTTTATGATGTATATAATTTTTGTCTGTGTGATTTTTTTAGTTTTCTTAAAAAACAACCACTACTTACAACTTAATATTATAAGAAAAAATATTCTCTTTTAAAATGTTAAATTTGTATAAAACACGAGTTACTATTAAAAATGTTGTATTATTTGTGGTTTAAATTTTTTATGAAATAAATTACAATTTTGAACATTATTCAGGGATAAAAGTGGGATGAGTATGTTACGCAATCACTGTTTCTATATTACATATACTATATGCATTAGACATTATACATACAATTATATATGGAACGCTTAAAACTATATGGAGACATTAGTTCCCCCTGTAATTTTTTCCCACTTTAAGCCCTGTATTAGGCTAACGAGAAAATCAACAACATGCAACATCGGAGTCTATTGTAAATTATTAGCGAAACGACGGAGTCTGTTAACGACATCTGTATCGCACGTGCGTATCAGTAGGATACCGTTTAATGTTCTAATATATTTATTATTCTATTATTTGCCTTCTAATATATTTATTATTCTATTATTAAAAGCAACGGAACTGCTGATACGAAGTGCGAAAAAACGGGGACTCAACATTAACGAGACTAAAACAAAATACATGCGAATCGGTAGGAACAAAGGTCAGATGCAAAATGCAGCTGGACGGAGGATATATGTTTGAGGAGGTAGATGATTTAAAAAACTGTAGGCACTAACTTAAGTAGCACAAACGACAACCACGAAGAAATAAAAAAACGCATTACATCGGGAAACAAATGTTTTTACGCCCTCTCGGGGTTATTGGGGTCGAAGCTACTGTCAAAAAAATCAAAAGAACGACTTAACATAGTACTAGCTAGACCAGTGATAATGTATAATGTGAGACATGGCCCACGACCCAAGGAGATGAGAATAGACTAGCTATCATGGAGAGGAAATTCCTTAGGAGGATTTACGGACCAAAAAGAAACGAAGAACATACGAAATTAGGTCTAACAGAGAACTTCAGGAATTATTCGGAAAACCAGACATAATAGCGGAAATACGCCACAAAAGACTGAGTTGGCTTGGACATGTGCTAAGGGCTAAGTCTATAGCAAATGATGTATTAAGCTGGATTCTTCAGGTAAGAAGGCCGATTGGAAGACCGAAACAGAGGTGGATGGACAAAAATAAAAAAGAACTAAATCAACTTGGAATAGACAATACTATTGAAGCAGCTCTGAACAGAGACAGATGGAAGGAGATTTGTTTTGCAGCGATGGGCCTTAATGGCCTTTAAAGCTGGAAGAAGAAAAAGAAGAAGATTATTTGCCTTGTTTAAAGTCGTACTCATTGAGATGTATGTATGTAAATATTTTTAAAATGCCTGAACCACGCCATTTGCAAGCTAACCGTACTCGATCAGCGTATCCCAAAATAAGAAGATCAAATGGTAGATCAGAATTAGGTTTAGCGACATTGATGTAAATCATAAAAGTTATTTTGGTCACTCAAATGGGATTTCTTTGAGCAGAGCTTCAATCCATTACCTCAGCGGTCTAAAGTTGAAAAACACAACTGTTTCCTTCACAAACATACCCTAACAAAGTTTAGCAAAATATATATTGAGTAGGTAATGAAAGAGTTGGCATGACATGGTGTAACAATATAACCAATCGCTATTTTGGGGATAGTAATGCATTTTAAAACGTCTTAAAATCAATGCTAAACGCTTTGAATAATTCGATTTTAATGATAAATATATCTAGTTCTTATGAAGCTAATAAAAATAGGGAAGGAAGTGTCTTCTAGGAGGGTCTAAAAACACATACAAAAAGTGATAAAAATGGATATGAGTTTGGTTTTTGGTTTTTCCTGGTAAAAACCAAATGTTTATTTTGTTAGTGACCGTTCTTATTATTTTTACATTATGACAGAATTTTTCTGTTCAATTATTCTTTCTTTTTTTGTCCGGCCTATCCATTTACAACAAGCTTATTGTGGGTCATCGGTGAACATATACAGGGTGGTTCGTGAGGATAAGATGCTCGTTTTTCTTAAAACAGTTGCTTA